AAATATAAAAACAAAAAAATATAGCTATTAATGATATGGGTCATTCTTACAATAGGGGAAATTTTATGTCCCTGACTTGCCATGCTCAGTCAAGTGCATGTTCACCATTTTTTATTTTATATTTATTTAGGGGTTTATTGACCCTATTCATACACCTATTAACTTAATAATAAAATAAAACCAATTCGATACATTTTCCCTTTAATTACATAAATTGTCATTAGCGTGGATGTCCCTGGATATCCTTTCACCAGAATATTTTTTTTTTGCAAATTAAGAAACTGTCCATAAATACTCTAGCAATAGTATATTTTAGACAACACTTTTTAAGATATGTTAAGCTGGATTGAGACAAAAAAATAAAATTGAATTGAAAAAAAAACATTTCTTAAATGTGTCCCTGAGTTTGACATCATTAGCGTGGATTATAATGATCCGTATTTAAAATTCCCGCCTACTTTAAATTTTCCAGTTAGCGACCGTTATTATAAACATTTTGGTATACGCTATTTACTTGATTTGGCGCCAAACGCGAACAGTTGCACAGTGAACTATGAAGTGTGAATTTGTTATGTGTTTCATGGGCGTATGTTTAATGTGCATCATTGGAGTGCTAGTGACAATTTTGTTTATCTAAAAGCTATTAGAAAAATATTGACAATAATTAATGAGCAGTGACAACTACAAAAGGTATGCATAATTTAAATTAAATTCATTAATCCATTTGCTGTCCAAAGAACCTTAACCTTAATTTAGTCATTGGCGTGGATATTTACTTGCATCATTGGCGTGGACTTTTTTCTCCACGCTAATGACGGACTATCCACGCCAATGATATTTTGTACGAATAATGATAATAAGATATTTTTATCTAAAATCGGCAGTAAAGTAGAACTTTAGTACCGATTTAATACGAGCATTGTATGCAAACCATTACTGCTCCTTAGCAGCAACTAAATAATATTTTAAAAAAGCACCTTCGCGGAGATCAATTGGAACCTTTCATAAAATGTTAAAAAAAAAGAATAATAAGTTAATTTTATTAATTAAATTAAAAAATCGCCGCGGCGGGCAAATATATCATAACCCAGAGATAATATATAATATAATAATATAATAATATAATAATATAATAATATAATAATATAATAATATAATAATATAATAATATAATAATATATAATATAATATAAGATAATATATTATCTTTGTCATAACCATCGCAACAAACAGTATACCGGTATACTGTTTGTTGCGATGGTTATGACAAAGATAATATATTATCTTATATTATATTATATATTATATATTATCTTTGGGTTATGATATATTTGAATGTAGTGTCCATGGTATACCATGGACACTACATTCAAATGACATTCGATTCAAATTTTAATGCAGAAGGTGTCTACTGTTTAAAAAGGTAAATAATTTATAATTATTAAATGCGATTTCGGATAAAATTTAATATCGTTACCCTAATTCGTAAAAGACGTAAGTCCACTTTTGAAAAACCGGGTTTTAGTGCCATCTCCTGTTCATGAACCTGCAGGTTTAATATCTACATAAACCGGCAAGTAGCATTACATTTACAATGGGTAGCTTCAATTTACAGAGACATGGTATCCAGGTATGTCTCCTTTTTTTTTATTAATATCGAGCACTGAGGTAAATTATTTTTAGGAATAATTGAGGATATAAATGGAGAAAACATAACTATTACCTTTATGGCAAGAATTGGTAAATATTTTTATTGGCCTGGATCAACTAATCGACAAATCTTTACAGAAGCTGGTATATTATGTAAACTTGATTTGCCACCACAGCCAATTTCAAATAGATTTTTTAAAGTACCAAACTCCGAGGAAATTGATAAAATATGCTTAATTCATTAATTTTTTTGTAACCAATGTTTACTTATAAATAAATATTAAAAATATATTTTGTATCATTATTCAATGAAAACTGTCATTAGCGTGCCTCTTAGTCATTAGCGTGGATATGGATTTTTGAAAAAGCCCCAAAATTAAAAATTGAGCTCAACAGACTCATCATTTCATAAACTTTATTAATTTCTTATAAAACAGTAGTTTTTCAAAATTTTCTGTAACTGTTTTTTTTTTAAATTTCTTATACTCAAGATTGCTCCTATTATAAGAATATCCCATATAAACAAAGTCCATGAACCTCAGATCGATCAAACGACCGAACCCGACATAATGGAAAAATTAACTTCGTTTTGGGTCAAAAAGGACCCGAACGACGCGTCGCGACGTACGAAGGTTAATAATACATTTTAAAAATGTATCACTCTTATAATGTAATAAAAAAATGTTTAAGTATATGTAAGATATCCTACAAACCTACTGTCATTTAAAATTTGCTATTTTGCCAAATTGGTTCAAACTTAAATCAGTGGATATATATATATATATATATATGCGTAAATCAGTTGATATAAATAAATCAACAAGACATTTTTTGCAACCCGTTATCATGATACTACATAAAAGTAGTATTATGCTCGTTATAGGTCTAGTTGTGTCTCGTTTATGGTTTTCACCGATCAAAGCCAGTGATGGACCGTCCATGATGGACGACCTGACCGAGGCAAATCATCACACACTTCTTGGCCCTCTCTATACGCAATAACCGAAAGCCTTCAGCAAAGATTCAGCACAGAAAATTTGTTTACAACAAAAAATGTAATGAAAAAATAATTGATCAAAAATGTGTCCAATATAAAAATCGTAGAGCAATCTTGAGAACGACTAATAAACAGCTGCTGATCGACAGATGGCGCTCAAACTTTGCCTATTAATTAAAGAGTGGTGGCAACAGGAAAAAAATTCTCGATGAGAATATCCGGAAACTTTTTGGACAGAATGTATCTGTTTTTTATACTTAGTTACTTTATTAAAATAAATATGTCCTAAATGAACTAAAAATAAATAAAAGTTATCACTATTTTTAATTTAATATGTTTATATCTTGTTTTAAATTATTTTTATACTGGTACCATCATTTGACAACAATATAAAAAATACAATAATACTTTAAAACACAAGTCATTTGTCATTTTAGTTATCCATATATTTAACGTTTAATGCAAACGTTTTTCTATTTCGTAAAAGGATGAGACGTCCGATAAATTTAATTTAATTCCAACAGACGTATGTGTTAAGTGGGGGTCATAAATACTGTGTAATGTTTACATAACAGTAAGTTCATGATCAGGGACAAGCATAGTAACACGTATTTTCATTAATTTTCAGGCCATTTGTCTCATTCAAACGATACCTACAATCATTATTTTTAATTGAATTATACTTTTAAAGTATCTAACACACTTACCTCCATTTTTTTCGCTTAATTATATATCCTTTAAAATCAAGAGCAACAGACACATAAATATGTTAACGTAGAAGGATTTAAAGCAAATATAATATATAAGATAAAATGTTTATATTTATAAATAAAATTGATGATGATTTTTCAAATTATTTAATCAAATTACTTACTACAATTTATTTACGACAATATTTTTTATATATTTTCTTTGTTGTGGATTTAGGTTTGAAATAATTAAATATTATCTTTTAAATTTTTTTGTAGAATTGTATGGTTTGTAATAGTTTCATAACTAACGAAGACAAAATAAATTATATAAGGAAATGTGCTTGTAACACGTATTAAAATTTACAACATCATTTGATTTTTGCAACACTTTTTCATGTTTTAAGAAGGTATAGCACATCCCGGATAGATTTAATGTTTGTAATAATAGTATATTATTATACGAGAGATAATGCGCATAATCTCGAGTGTAATACTATACTTTATCTATTCCAATAGGTAGATAACTAAATGATTTTTAAAAATAAATAAATAAATAAAATCGCATTCTCTCAATTTAAAACCCGATTGGTTTAAATCACAGTGAATATTAAAATCGGCCTATCACTGATGCATGACAGTAGGCAGGGAATTTATAATGTTTATAATGTATCATTATTTACGAAAAAAAAAACAATATTTTGCAATAGGAGTAGATAAAATGTTTTTATTTGAAACAATTTAACGTTTAATTTTTTTATTAATTTAATATAAATAATTATTGTAATGGAAATTTATTTTTAAATTTGGAAATTTGAAAATTAGAATTTTCACACTTTTAGTTGAGAATGCTCTTAACAACTTATCCTGGCATAAAGGAATGTAAATAATTACACATTCATCCAATGTAATACAAAACCTACTAAAATGTACCTACTTGATATTCTTAAGTTAAACATAAACTAGACTATTAGATCACAAAGGTGTTTGTATGTTTTTAACATATGCACCAAATTTAAAAATACCATGACTAATTAACAATACAAAGGCATTTAGGTTAACAACATATAAGTACATATAATTAATATGTATTCTTTCCAATTTAAGTAATAATAGTATTATAATAAAATAAAGAAATAATCGATAAATAGTTAAAAAGTGAGATTAGAACGTTTTAAGAAATGTTAGATTTTATTTAGGATACTAGGGGCGACTATGGTGATTTTAAAATATGTTTGCAACTACCCGATTAGTGAAATTTTAGTGAATACTAAAATGAGATAATCACTGATGTCCAACAACAACAATGAATTCGTTATTCCTGTTGCTAATGGTAATGGTAATAATTATATACGAGAAAACCCAAATAATGTTAATATTATACAATAGAAATAGAACAAATATTTGTACAGTGTCAAAAGATTATAAATATCTTATTTATTGGTGTTTTGATTACTTTCATCCACATGAAAAGTAAAGAAAATTTTCCTATAAATATAAATATAAATGTAAATTAAATTATTATTAAATTTTATAAATATGATAACATAACTATACAAAATTATTATCTTATTTCTAGTAATTATAAACAAGTACTTTAGTTGTATCTATAATATATTCTAATTACAACCTTTTTATTTTTTATAGGAAAACTCAACCAAACCAAAGCAGAAGAACATCAGTTTCAAAGGTAATTTCAATTTTAAAAATTAATAAACAATATTTTTAAGCTGAATAAAAAATTCCTGAAGCAAATACACCGTTAAATAATTTGTAGATTTGCATTTATGCTTCTATGAGCACGACTAAGAACGTTAAAAAGGAACAAAAATAATTATGGTTTATGTTACGCTGTTTTAGTAATTATTTACTCTCAATTATCAAGTAAAATTATATTAATGTAAAACTTATTTTCTTAAATAATTATAATTATTTAAGGTTATTTATTATTTATAGAATAAAATTAGGTTTTAATAGATCTAAATGACATTAGAAATTCATAATTATTTCTAATGTCGGGGTAAATTTTATGTATTGCACTACATAGTCTTAAAACCAAAGTTTTTTTTGAGGTTCCAATATTTTTAATAAATGGAAACAAAAAAATCGTCATTTTCAGTAAATTATTATATATTATTTTTCAAAAGTCCTTTAGCTGCCTAAGTAATACCGACTGCAGATTTTAAAGGGTTATTCGGTAAATTCGCGGTTAAAGTTTCCTTATTTATTGGTGAATTTTGTAAATGAATCAGCTTCAATAAAATTAATAGTCAACAGAAGAAGTTTTAATAAGTCATACATTTTACAACATGATGGATGATTCTTTGCTCTAAGCGAAAAATACCTATCTACGCCTTTGATTCTTCAGACAATTTGTTTTATCGAAAATTCGTGTCCCCTTAGTTACAAATATCCATGTCTTTGGGATTTATATTTAAAAAAATATTTTCAATCAAACCTATTCTTTTCCATTTTAAGATTTAAAAGTCGGCAAAATCTTCGAAAAAGTATCCCCCTCTATATTTGGAACCTTTGCTACCACCCTGCAACGATATTTAAGTTTTATTTGTTTACTGTTAATTAAAATTCATAGTTTACAAGTTATTTTAAGACTAGCTGTTATCCCGCAGACTTCTCCACCGCTAACAGCTATTGCGCTTTGCGGCTGGAATTTTTATTTTTATTAACAAAAAACCTTTAAACCCTCGTAGAATTAACAATAAACAATCAGTGAGTAAGTGTAAGAAAGTTATTAAGTGGGATGATTTCTTAATATTAAGTAATAAGTTACTAACTTTCCACTCCAAATAATATTTCGTTTACAAAACTTTGCAGACATCATTTTATTTTTTATATAAAATATTTTTTTCCAAGACAACAACTGAAATGAAGGTAAATTTGTCTTAATAAAATGAAATAATAACATATTAAATATAATTTTTAAAACCATCTTTGTTATTTTATTTGTTTAATAAAGAGTGCTTCTTTAATGTTATGTACACAAATTTTTAAATAAGTATATACCCACACAGCACACTACGTCCATTGTACGTCCATTAAAGGTCCAAACGTACATACGTCCATGGACCTTGAATGTACGTCCATGGAGTTTACGCTTTCCCATGTCCTTAGGATCTTCCAGAAAAACGTCCATAGGATGGACACAAGACAAGAAACAATAAGATGGATGTTCAGTCTTAGTTAGGACTCCTGCGGTCGATAATGGCTACAATAAATAGTTACATTTTACAAAAATAGCAAACAAAACAATGTTTAGAATTAACTACACTTAAAAAATAACAAATGTTTTATTTGTTGTTAATTGTTAAAATTGTTTTGTTTGCAAATCATGAGTTTGGTTAAATTAATTTACTATATAGTAACTATAATTTAATTTATAGAAACACCTCAGAAATACCAATTTACGAATTAAACTTTATTAATAGGTTTGGTTTATATAAAAAAAACTCCGGTCAGCAATAAAAAATACCTAATAAAAAAAGTCAGTCGTGATTCAAATCGTATCATGGTAGTCAGTGACATATTATTAAAGGCAATGTCATTGAATTATTTCAAAATGTTAAACACCAATATTTTTATACTTGAAATATTTGTTTAGTGTTAAATATAAAATAAAACTTAATTCACTATAATACCAATATATTAGTTATGGGGCCCATATCAAACTTATATGAGTTTATAATGACATTGAATAGAAAATTTGTGCGCAAGCAGAATTTAAATTGAAATTTGCGAAAAAAAGTTAGTTTTCAGCCCGCCTTACCAGCCCCCTACCCCCAAAATTAAGATTATTCAAAATAAAGTGGTGCATAATTCACTAAAGTTTATCGACAAAATTAAAAATTTATTTTAAAAATCCAAGACTTACAGAATTATGAATTGCACCACTTGAATAATCTTAATTGGGTGTAGGGGGCTGGTGAGGCGCGCTGAAAAACTAACTTTTTTTCGCAAACTTTAATTTAAATTATGCTTGCGTAGAAATTGTCTATTCAATGTCATTATAAACTCATATATGTTTTATATGGGCCTCATGTCCAATAACTGAGATATTGGTATACCCAAAATCCACCAGCCGCCACTGTCTAAACCTTTTTATCCTAAATCCTATGGTTAAGTTTATCTTACGGTTAACTTTCTTAGATACTATTGTGTTAACAGAGGCTTTTTTAAATATTTTTTTTAAATAACAATATTCCACAAAGTAATTTTTAGATATTTTATTAAACACAAGTAATTAATAATATTAATATTAACATTAATATTAACCATTTTGGTGAAAAATAAGAGAATAATTGCTGACAAATTTAATAAAATTTTTGTTGAAAGTATTACAATTGTTAAGGACATTCCTTTGAGTCCTAACCAAGAAAACTCATTGAACAAAATTACAACATTTGAACAAATAAATAATTTTAAACCAGTCTCAATGGAAATCCTGAAAAAAATCATAAGGTCGCTTAAAAAAACAGGTGACGTCGGCGATAGTATTTCAACTAAAGTTTTAAAGGATTCCTGTTACGTGGTAGCAAACAGACTTCGCGATATTGTGAATACATCTCTGGACACCGGAGTTTTTCCGAATGAATGGAAGACATCGTACATAACCCCTGTGCCTGGGACATCTTTATGAAAAGAGTTTCGACCAATAAATGTGGTGGCTCCATATGAGAAAATCCTGGAACTTTGTGTCAAAAAACACATAAGTGAATACTGTGATAAAAATAGTGTTATTGCTGATAATCAGTCAGGATTTTGAAAAAAACACTCTTGTGAAAATGCTAGCAGTTTCACAGCTGTGATTAATGTCTGTGATAAATGGATTAAAGAATTAAAAAAAGGTAAACTTATTTTAACTGTATTTTTAGACTTTAAAAGAGCTTTTGAAACTATAAATAGAGACTTATTAAGTAAATTAAATAAAATGGGATTTTCTGGAAATGTTTTAAAATGGTTTAAATCCTATTTGACTCATAGATCTCAGATCGTTAATATAAATAACGTTTATTCCAATACAATTGACACAGTTCATGGAGTTCCTCAGGGGACTGTTTTAGGTCCTCTGCTATTTGTTTTATATATTAATGATATGATTAAATATGTTGAAAATTGTGAAATATGTATGTTTGCTGATGACACCATGATATATGTGATAGGGAATGATATTAATGAAATGAGTAATATCATGAACACCCAACTTAATGTAATTTTTAAATGGTTGTGTGAAAATAATATGTGTGTAAATGTTGGTAAAACTAAATATATGTTAATTGGTCCTAGTCATAAAACTAAAAATTTTAATTTTAATTTATGTATTAATAGTAATAAACTAGAAAGAGTAAACATTATAAAATATTTGGGTATAATGATAGATGATAGACTTTTTAAGGATCATGTTCATTATTTGTCAAATAAAATTTTAAAAAAGATCTATTTTATGGGTAGAATTAGTGGAAGCTTATCACTTTTTATAAAATTCTTATTATATAAAGCTATTATATCCCCCCACTTTGAATTTTGTTTCACAATATAATTCAACATAAAAAAAAATGAAATGCAAAAATTGCAAAAATTACAGAATAGAGTACTACGCATTGTGTTAAAATGTTCTAAATTAAACTAATGTTAGAAACTTTAAATATATTAAGTTTAAACCAATATATAAATTATAAAACTTTAATATTTATTTATAAAATTAAAATTGGATTATTACCATCATACTGTTGTTAACTTCAGCCCGTCAATAAAACGCCATAAAGTCAAAGTTCTATCTTACGTAAAAGAAAAAATTGACCTGTGATATTTCTGATGTTATTACTAATATTTATATATATATATATATATTAGGGTGATTCATTTCCGCAAAGTTTTTGTTTTCTTCGGTGCTCAAGCAAAATATTAATCTGCATATAGAAAAAAAAATTCTCAACAAGTTTGAGCTCTTAATATCAATTTTAAGTACTTGCAGTTTAAATTTAAAGTTTTCCCACTTAAAATGCATGTAAAAAAAATGTTTTTTTTTCAAATTTCTAATGCTTATCCACCTTTGACAATATTGCAAATCGGTTTAATACACCTTATGGGGAATTCCACGCTCTTTAAAATTGCTTTTGAGGTTTTTTTTGTAACTCGCATTGGTTCACCAGTAGGAGTCGTCAAAGGACAGTTTTTGAAAAAAATCGTTTTTTTTTAAATTTTTTTTAACAAACCGCAAAAAGTAGGGAGAAAAGTTTTTGTTTTCTTCGGTGCTCAAGCAAAATATTAATCTGCATATAGAAAAAAAAATTCTCAACAAGTTTGAGCTCTTAATATCAATTTTAAGTACTTGCAGTTTAAATTTAAAGTTTTCCCATTTAAAATGCATGTAAAAAATATATTTTTTTTTCAAATTTTTAATGCTTACCCACCCACCTTTGACAATATTGCAAATCGGTTTAATACACCTTATGGGGAATTTCACGCTCTTTAAAATTGCTTTTGAGTTTTTTTTTGTAACTCGCATTGATTCACCAGTAGGAGTCGTCAAAGGACAGTTTTTGAAAAAAATCGTTTTTTTTTAAATTTTTTTCTAACAAACCGCAAAAAGTAGGGAGAAAAAAGGGCTGAATCATAAAAAAAGTTATCCAACCAATATTTAATGAATTTACAGCCATTTTTATAACTGAAAAC